TCAAGAGCAAATTAAACAGCCCTCTTGATTGCTATTATAGCCACGGGCTTTAAGACTAGAGAGAATGAATCGAAGAAGGGAGAACAGGAGAGATATAGCGTTTGGGTTGTACCCACTAAGAACATACCCTATCTAGCCTACAGTATAACTTCTACATAACAATATATGTATAAGTTGACAGTCTGTTGCATAGTCTAGCTATGAGGCTGAGATCTACGCCGGTGCCATGGCGGCACAGGAGCTCCGCTGGCTGACGTTCCTGCTCACAGACTTAGGTAAGCGGCCTAGCTCTACTCCGGTCCTGTACGCCAACAACAGGGCCATGATCCTCCTGTGTCAGGAGCCTCGACTAGAGGGCAGAACGAAGCACATCCAGCTACGGTACTTCCTCCTGCGCGAGCTACAGCAGCGCCGCTAGACACCAGGGCTGACGTTTCAAAAAAAAGCACCCTGAGCTGTCGAATGGGAAAAAAAAATTACCCTGAGGGCCTTGTGTTGAAATTTTGGCTTCCCTTATTTCTCAGTGTTCTGAAACATGTAACCCTGAAACCTCCAGGGTTGCCAGGCCACAAACAGGGTTGCATTGCACTTGCTAAAAATCGTTTAAAAGAACGTTAGGATTGTACAGCTAGTTACTAGCCAGAGCCTACTACCACTACGCCAGTCTACAAATTCAATTAAGTCGTCTATCTAGTCTAGACATCACAAGATTCCACGCCACTAGCTACACTTAACTAAAATTCAGGGCCATCCATGTTCACTTCGTCCTCTGCCTCGTCATCGGACAGAAACAGGTTGTCGTCCACTTCAGGAGGAGCCTCTTCCCCCTCTACCCCCTCATCTCCCTCATCCTCTGCCCAATCCCCCATGTAGTCGGGGACTGCCTCCTCCTCCACCCTCTCTTCTGCCCCCTCAATCGCCTTGGCCTTGCGCTTCCTCTCCGCTGAGGCAAACAGAACAGACTTAGCAGGGCGCCTCAGCTTCTCGCGCCAACACCCAAGGGCCTCGTCCCAGTCGATCTCATACCACAGCAGGGAAATGACCATCAGCTCGCTGAGGCGCGCATTGCACAACGAGCCCCGCAACCATGACTTGATGACATTCTGTCGCGAGAAGCCTCGTTCACACTCCACGGTGCTAAGCGGCAGGACAGCGCACGCCTGCCACAAGCGCATGATGTTGGGCCAGCGCCTACCAGAAGGGTTGGGGGAAAGAACAAGACCAGTGCATTAGTGCAACTAGTCAACAAGCGATAAACAACAACTTCCAAGGGGAAGATTAGAACCGGCAAGAAAACATGCAACAGAAGTCCGTCGAACAGCAGTCTCTCACAAGGTCAACTCCGTCGAGCCGAGGTAGTTCGTGAGGCCTTGATGGAATCCCTCGTCGGCATGGTGGCTCAGCATCAGTGGCGCCCACGTAACCAGCTTCTTCTGCGCAGCTTGCAAGGAAAACCCTGACAGCCTGTTGTCGAAAAGGGCACTGCAGCCATGTAGGTACTCCTTCAGCTTCTTCTCTCTCTACTGCTTCATCCGGGGCCACATCGACACGCGGAAGAGCTTCGTCGGGGCGAGATTGTTCAGGTCCAGCATCCTCGTCTTCAGGAAGCTTATCGTGTTCCTCGCGAACTGCGCGCAGAGCCGCTCGCAATCGGGGTAGTTGCTGCGGAAGGCATGCCCTTCGATCTGCTTCTCGTGCATGGTGTAGGTGTGCGTGACTGGGTTGCCGTCTTTGTCAATGCCCCTCACCTTTACGCGTTTGCTCCCTCCGCGCCCGTAGACCCCCAAAAAAGTCGAAAGCCACATGCCTTCGACCCCCCCACCGAACACCTCTCCGCACTCCAGGTAGCGGTGGCGGAGGTCCCCTGTCGCCTCGTCGATGTCCTTCGTCACTTCGGTGACATCGACCTGGTGGAAGTGACAGACAAGGGAGTGGAGAGAGAGGGTGATTCCAAACGTGAGTGCGTGGTTCAAAAAGCGCAACATGCACAGTGGAAGAAGCTCACCCCCCTCTTCTGAAATTTGAGGTTGAGCTCATTCATCACTCCGAGCACGTCCGCCAGGAAAAAGAGACAGAACTGGAACTTGTAAAAGATGGCGACTTCATACAGCTCATGCCCGTACTCATGAAAGAGAATGATAGCGGCGCCAAGGACCTTACAGAAGTGCCGCACAGCCTCACCCCTTGAAAGCCAGCGCACGGTGTGAATTCCTTGCACTTCAAGGTTGGTGTTGTGTATTGCCCGCTGCAGGTACTTGAAGCGTTGACTCCAGACACAAGAACGTCCCAGAAGATCGGCCAGAGTCCGAATCACAAGGTCGACCATGTCGAAGTCTGGAGAAGCAGTTGCGGCGTCCTTCACCGCCAAGGCTTCCCTGCATGGTGCACACTAAGGAAATTTAGTCAAGCACTTAAAGGAAACCTAAGCGACTAAAATGGGAAGTGGTCAAACCTGTGCGCGATGCAGTGCGAAGAGACGAGATGGGGGATGTGCTCGCGAAGTCGGGCGACGAGACCGTTGTCTCGGCCGACCATGACAGAGGCGCCGTCGGTGCTCATGCCGGTGATTCGGGAGAGGTCGATGCCAGTTGCTCGCAAGTGAGCCAGAAGAACGGCGAGGAGAGACGCGGCGCCGCACTTCTCGACGGTCAAGAGTGCAAAAAACTCTGTGACAATACGATGCACCCACAAGAAGGCTAGATAAACAATCATATGTTTACCGCGAGTACGGTCAGTGCTCTCGTCGCAGCTGATGCCGAAGTAGGGTGAGGCGAGAATGTGTTGCATTTGTCGGCGCTGCAGGTAGGATGCCAAGCTGCTGACGAGCTGACAGAAGCCATACCTGTAGTAGCAGAAGTAGCAACAGGGTATTTGATTGACCTATTAAAAAAGAAAAGGATTTGCTGTACTTGGAATCAGTGCATTACCGTGTCAGGTAGACTCCGTAAGTCTGCAGCGGAATGTCTGGGGTCTCCTGCTCGGCCATGAAATGGAGTAGCCTCGGGTACATGCTGATGGGTGCATCACACTTGCACAGGAAGTCGACGCAGCGTAGGAGCCTCATGACGCGTTTCCCCTCGATGTCACTCCGCGCGTAATTCTCCATGCGCCTCTGGGTGCTGGCGATGTCTTCGGCGATCTCCATCTGACGCTTGACTGCTACTTCGTGGGCTGTTGTGTGTTCGTAGAACCGCATCGCTTGCGTCTGCAGGTCACGTGCCCCGTTGCGGCTGTTAGAGTACGGTGTTGTCTCTTTGCCAAAAGCCTTGCATACACTGCACTTCAACGCAGGGTAATCGTCTTTCGTTTTCGTTAGCAGAAGCCAAGGGAAAAATGGAAGCCAGCAGGTCTTATACTTGTGCTCAGCCATGAGATACTTCTGCTCGATGAGCTCTTTCTTCGAGAGTTTCGGTGGCTCGGGTTCTGGAAGAGCAGGGGCCTGAGGTTCAAGCGACGTGCGAGGCGGCGACGGTCGACGTAGCTTCCCGCCGAGGACTATCGTGCTCTGGGTGTACTTCCCGATGCGTGCTTTTTTCCCAGATGAAATCGTGGAAGCACACTCGACCGTGTAACGCACGGTCGTGGCTGTCTCGCAGGCTGGAACCCAAGGGCCCCGGCTAGTTGAAGCGACAGCGGGCGGAGGTACATAGGGAGCGGGAGTAGATACGGGTTGTGATGGTGAAACGACCATGGTGGGAGACTGCAAGATGTCTAGAGCGGATCTACGAACCTCCACGGGGGGGTCCCTACCTAGTCCACAACCATCATCGGCAGCGGGAGACTCATCAGACTCTCCCACATCCGCCATGGCTAGTAGCGGAGGATATGATCGAATCGAGAAATCGTCGCGACGAAAGTGGACGAGAAAAAGAGTAGAGCATCTCGTATCTGCGATGTGAAGAAGGGGAGGAAACTGGGTTGGAGGAAAAGCTCGTGAAGAAGATGGGAAGGGGACCAAGAAACCCCAGATTTCGATTTTCGTAGACGGTGCATAACCCATCCAGGATCCCGCATCGCCATGGCGATACCGTCAACGGCGGGACGCACCTGCGCTGGCATCGTCTGCATAGGGATGATTGGCGCTGTGATGTCATACAGAGGCAGCGCTCAGCATATTCTGTCCTCATCTCCTGCGTGCTGAGTCACGAATGCCAGGCTGGGGCAAGACGAAGTGCACCATCCCACATTTAACGGTTGGAAATGTTGCTGTGATGGCAACATACAGCGTGTACACGGCGGGAATGTTGCCAAGTGCAGATTCTCCACGTGACGCAACCTGGGCGTATTCAATGGACTAGGACCCGTCACGCGTATGGGGGCCATTTCGGCGAAACTCAGGGTCCGCATGGATGTCGCATTCAGGGTTCATACGCGTTACTCCCTGAAAACTCAGTTTTGGGATAATGCTAACCCTGAAATTCTAAGTGTTCACAGACATACAACCCTGAAGAGGTTAGGGTTAAAAAAAGCCCAACCCTGAAAATTAAGGGTTGGCCAAAAAAATACCCTGTGAAATCAGGGAATCAGGGTAAAATACCCTGATAACGACAGGCCTGCTAGGCACGTGTAGTACACTTGGCCTCCGGTGATATCTTTACTGAGGCGCTTGCACCTAAAGATCATCAGCGGCACTGTGTACAGCCTCGTCTAGTTCCAGTAGCTCCTCGCTAGGTTCCTGATTGTGTACTACTCCTTATATATCATGACTGGCCTTGTGGCTCGAGTTCTAGTGGCTGGACTAGTAGTGCCGCCCTGGTTTGTTTGTACTCTTGCTGACTGATCTTCAGACCCTTACCTGAGAGGTTGGACTAGTAGTGCCACATTGAGCTGCAAGTCTCTTCCTACGCACTGTCCCTCGTCTAGCCTAGGGGGTGTGTCAACTTCTTTATTTATAGTAATAGGCTAGATTGGTGCATGCATGCTCTTAGAGAGTACAACCTACAAGCAATAACACCCTGTATGCACTTGCTCAGTTCAATTCGCTATGCTGAGAGCACGCCCTGTTTAGAAAGAGTGTATTTTCAAAACAACGAATCCAACCAAGATGGTAGCCTTTAGAACCACCATAGAATAAGAGTTCGGGTGATTGCGACCTGCTACTGTATCAAGTTACGGGGTTTCAATCCAGACAGCCCCTTTCCCACACCCAGACCCCCCGGTCTCGTTAGTCGAGCAAGTAATTTTAAGACCACTGAGCAGTGACCAGTAACCAGTGCTCCCAACTGGCTCTTGCTTGAGGCGGCTCAAGAACAGCTCGTGCTGCTAATCAGCACAACCACGCACACTCGGCCCCCTCCATCTCCCATGCAGCAGCCGCACCTTGCAACAGCTACAGCTTGCAGCAGCAGCAGCAGCAGATGCAGCGGACGCACCCTAGTGGCATGCTGTGAGCGTGGTACTTTTCTCGTGAGCCTGTTGTTGAGGCGCCTCAAGAAGAGGCTCGCACCCAGGCACAGATGGGGGGTCGGCGTGACCACCAGCACAGATCGGAGTCAGGGACCGCTTCACGTTTGGGCACGCTGCTGCCACCATGGCCAATGGCACGCCAGCAAATGCCCCCTCCCTCCCCACTTCCTTCCCTCCCCACTTCCCTCCCTCTCTCTCGATCGCTCTCCTCTCCCCACATCGATCCTCCTCTTTCCGACACGAGCAAAGCGCCCCCCCCCCCCCTCTCTCTTGCATAGGCTGAGTGCGTTGCACCCCTGAGTATTTTTGCCCCACACTAGTGCCTCAAAGGGCATTCGAGTCCATACTAATCCCACGCCGCATAGCATGGCAATGCATTGCCTTTTTCACCTGCCCACACTCCTCGACTCCTGGCTCCCGCTGCCGCCCTGCCCCGATTCCCCCACTTCGTAGATCTTCCTCAGTTCCTCAGGGGATTCGTAGGAGATGTTGTTCAAGGGGGTGTCCATGTCCATGGCATACACGCGCTTTATGATGTCGTACGTTGCCTGGGGAATGGAACGGAACAGGTGGGGAAGGCAGGATACATGTTCACTCTCCTGCTACAGACAGTCGAGACTAAAAAAAATATATTAAAAAAAAAAATCAAGGGCGTATCCATATCCATGGCATACAGGCACTTAAGTATGTTGTATGTTTCCTGTAATGATCGGACAGAGGGAAAGGCAGGACACACATTCACGAGGGTGAAAGAGCAGGCATGTGGGATGCTGAAACGCTGGATGCTGGGCGTCTTCTCAAATTCAACCGTGCCGCCCGCATCCTCTATATGAATATCCCTCTCACCTTGATCCCAATCGTTCGTACCGTCCTCTGCGACTTGGTCGGGTGGGTTGTCTCATGCCATGAGAGTGGAGTTGAAGTCGGGAGCGCACCATACGCGTCCAACTAGTGGCCCCCACCATCACCCTCACCTTGCGCGTGATCATCTGCTGCATCTGCTCTCTTGACTTGGTCGGGTGGATCTTCTTCCCAAAGTCAAACGCATCACCCGCGTTGCGGCCAAACCGCTCCATGAGGGCCTGCACGTCCCTGTCCATGCTCTCGAACCGCCCCACGTAGTCATACTTGATGCGGTCCAGCCCACACAGCAGGTTCTGAAATGGGGGTAGTGTGGGACGAGGGCGGGGACGGGGACGGGGACGGGGATGGGGACGGGGATGGGGCGGGGAGGGGGAAGAGCAGGAGGAGGTGAATTTAGGTTCTCAACCCGAACTGCTCCATGAGGGATTGCACGTCCTTGGATTTGGGTACTTGATGCGGTCCGGACCGCACAATAGGTTCAGCCGTGAATTGCAGTGGGGAATAGGATACAGAGTTACAAGGACACTGTACTGCGGTTCTGACTCTATATGAGGCAGAGGGGGACAGAAAAGGGGCAATGCGCCGCAAAGTGAGGAGCAGGTGCAAGACGCGCGCACCAGTAGTCGTACCCCCCACGCGTGTAAAGCACATCCTACATGTAAGCTGGCGCAGGGTGCATGCAACTATCGGACGTAAGCGTAGATGCAAGGCGCAAGTACCTGGGGGGGAGCAGGGCGCAAGGACCTGGGGGGGTGCAGGGCACAAGGACCTGGGGGGGAGCAGGGCGCAAGTACCTGGGGGGGAGCAGGGCGCAAGGACCCGGGGGGGTGCAGGGCACAAGTACCTGGAGGAGAGCAGGGCGCAAGTACCTGGGGGGGAGCAGGGCGCAAGGACCTGGGGGGGAGAAGGGCGCAAGGACCTCGGGGGGGTGCAGGGCACAAGTACCTGGAGGGGAGCAGGGCGCAAGTACCTGGGAGGGAGCAGGGCGCAAGTACCTGGGGGGGTGCAGGGCGCAAGGACCTGGGGGGGCGCAGGGCGCAAGGACCTGGGGGGGTGCAGGGCGCAAGGACCTGGGGGGGTGCAGGGCACAAGTACCTGGGGGGGAGCAGAGCGCAAGTACCTGGGGGGGAGGAGGGCGCAAGGACCTGGGGGGGAGGAGGGCGCAAGGACGTTGGGGGGTGCAGGGCGCAAGGACCTGGATGGGAGCAGGGCGCAAGTACCTGGGGGGGAGCAGGGCGCAAGAACCTGGGGGGGTGCAGGGCACTAGTACCTGGGAGAGAGCAGGGTGCAAGTACCTGGGGAGGAGCAGAGCGCAAGTACCTGGGGGGAAGGAGGGCGCAAGGACCTGGGGGGGAGGAGGGCGCAAGGACCTTGGGGGCTGCAGGGCGCAAGGACCTTGGGGGCTGCAGGGCGCAAGGACCTTGGGGGCTGCAGGGCGCAAGGACCTGGGGGGGTGCAGGGCGCAAGTACCTGGGGGGCGATGTGTTCGTCCAGGTGCCAGCGCCTGTCCTCCTCCCACGCGTCGCCCAGCAGTCGCACGAACTCCTCAAACGACAGCAGATCGCCCACCTCCATGCGAAACCGGTCCTTCCACACCCCCCACCAGCTGCTGTTCCTGCTACCGCCCCCTGCTGCTGCTGCTGCATCCCCTGCTGCTGCTGCGCCAGCTGGTGCTGCTGCTCCGCCTTCCCCCCCTTCCGCCCCTCCAGCGGAAGAATTCCCTTCGTTCGCCCGGAATCTGAGCGCGTCCCACGTGCGCAGCGCCCACAGCTGCCCGAAAAACTTCTTCGTCCAGAACTGCCGCCCGAACCGGTCCGGCCCGCCGCCCGCCACGTGCTTGTTGAGATACGCCGAAACAACCCTGGTGAACGGCTGCCGGACGAACACGAACCTGGTGTAGTCGGTTCGGGTGATGGCTCGGATGGCGTCAGGCTCGGCGAGGGAGTACCAGACCTCGGTGACGTTGCTGGTGGCTGGGAGGTGCGTGTCTAGGAGCTGGTTGGGGTTGGGGTGGTGGTGCTGCTGGCGGATCCACACCTTCCAACTCGTGCAGCCCACCTTCTGAACCGCGCAGTACACCATGCCCACTGTGTCTGGTGGGACAGGTGGGGGAGAGGAGGGGAAGGCGCGGAAAAGGAGTAAGAGTGGTACTAGGTGCACCGTGCACCCCACCGTCTGCACAAGACAAAACCATGTCCACTGTGTCTGGCGTTGGGACGGGGAAGGACGCATGGGAGGGGAGGAAGAAAGAGTTTTGTGAGGTGGTGCCTGTCAGCAGGTCATGTGCCTCCCAGCAGTCAACATGTCAGGACAGGAGTGCACAGGCATTCCTCAGTGAGAAAGACCATGCCTGCAGAGGAACGACCTGCAGGTCAGCAGGTCAGGAGTGCACGGGCATTCCTTGGTGAGAAAGACCACGCAGGTCATTCTCACCCTCGCAGTGGATTACCTACACCTTAAGCCAAGCTTCGAAGCAATCCTCAATGCCCTGCGCTAGATGCAAAGCCTTTCACTAGGTGTCTACTCACTAGGGGACCCCAACGAATTTGCCCACTTAGTCTTTTACTCGTGCACTCACCGTCTACTATGAGCTGCTTCCCAATGCGGTGCTTGTTGATCGGCACAATGGCCGGCGCATGGCACAGCCCGCGCTCCCCCTCAAACACTCTCCCCTCCCCGCCCTCCCCGCCTTCCCCCCCGCTGCTTCCCCCCACTGTCGCTGGCGCACCCCCCGCTCCCCGCGGAAAGCTCTCCGGAGCGACCAGCACGTCGTGCATGCGGGGGATGCGGCCCCTGGCGGAGGCCTGCGCGCGGATGAGTTCCGCCTGGGGGGAGTGCTGCAGGTGAATGAGTCCGCGCGCTGCTGACAGCGTGAACAGCTCCGCCGCCTCTAGTTGCGCGCACTCTATCCACGCGCCAACTCCTCGCGCCCCCTGCTCCATCCCGCCACTCCCATCACTTCCAAACCCAATGCCCCCGCCGCCTCGTAACCCGCCCGTTCCGCCTCCCTCCGCGTCTGCTTCTGCCCGCCCGTCATACCAGCCCAGCCTCCCCAGCCATCCCCGCTCAACGGTCTCTCGCGGAGTCGGCTCCGCGGGGACGATCGGCGGAGGGAGCGCTTCCCCCCACGCAGGGTTGGGCCGGCAGAGGGCGGAACGGCGCAGGGTTGCGCGGAGCAGGTGCGGCTGGCGGGAGGGGTGGAAGGTGTGCGCCACGGCGAGCGCCTGCGACGGCCAGAAACCCGCCACCGTGGCGTCTCCATCGGGCTGCCCGAGAAAAAACCACATGAGTCGGCGGGTCGTGCAGTTAACGGCGAGTTTGGGATCACAACCGGTGCAGAGTGGTGATAAAGGGGTAAGGGCTACCGGCTCCATGTACACCGCTGTGCTCTGCTGGACACGTGTCATGTTCTCCTTGGCCATCAGCTCCTGCACCGCTGTGGACGGCTGTAGCAGGCTGTAGCAGCGCTGCAGGGAGGTGTGGAGGTGGGAGTTGTCCACGTCAGCAAGGGCGGCGGCCATGGGAGGGAGGGAGGAGGAGAGGAAGAAATTCACGTGGAGGCGGCGAGGGCGGTGGGCAGAGGGGAGGGGGTAGGAGGAAGAGGCGGAGAAGGTTCCTGACTGTTTTTCCTGTTGCTGCTGCAGCTGTTCTTGAGAGATCGCCTGGGGGATTCTCGAGTTGAGGGTCTGTTGGGATCCGTCGTCGCGCAAGACGAATACGCGGAGAGGAAACACGCGCAAGGCAAGCAGGGGGGGAGAGGAGGGGGGTTGGGGGGGGGAGGGGGAAACACGCGCAAGGCAAGCAGGGGGGGAGAGGAGGCGGGTTGGGGGGGGGAGGGGGAAACACGGGCAAGGCGAACACGCGGAGGGGAAACACGCAGAATCGGAGGTTAGTGAACGGCACACTGACGACCAAGCACGCTCGCGAAGAAGAAAGAGGCGAATGAGAATCAGAAATTGTCGCGAAATGAAGCATAATTGCGCGCTACACATACGGAAAAGAACCTCAAACGAACCTACCCCATAGGTGTAGAGCGGCGAGTTGAGCCAGCTCGGGTGGTGCTGCAGCACGAGCGCCTCGTCAGAGGAATCCACTAAGAACGAAGTCGACTGCTGCTGCTGCTGCTGTTGCTCGTCCTGCTCATCGCCTTGCGGAGCGGAGAGCGCGCTGGGGGGAGGCAGAGGGCCCAGCACGTGGTTGAGCGTAGCGTGCGGCATGGATTGATCCGGCAGCCACAGCACGGCCAGCCGCAACGGCCGCTGCTGCGCTTGCTGCTGGGAAGACGCAGCACCGGTATCGGAAGCGCTAGTATCGGGGACGCCGGCAGGCAGCTTGGACGACAGCAGGTGGTGCAGCGCGTAGCCCGCGCACACCGCCTCCAGCCGCTTGTGCAGCGGACCCTGATAATGTGGGGGGAGACGGGGGAGACGGGGGAGGCGGGGGAGGCGGGGGAGGCGGGGGAGGCGGGGTCACAGAGGACGAAGGAGGTGGGCTTTGAGTCGACTCCGAAGGTGGTGCAGCGCGTACCCCGCACACACCGCCTCCAGCCGCTTGTGCCGCGGACCAGTGACAGAGGAGACGGGGGAGACAGGGTCACAGAGGAGGACGGGTTGGGGGAAGGAAACTGGGAAAAGAAATGCAGAAATCGCGAAACAATCTGCGGCATCTGGGGAAACAGCTGCGTTGTGAAACACGTTCAGTTTGCGGTGCGGGCTGTGCAAGCTCGTGATCGGCAGTGAATCTGCTCGTCAGGAAGGGACTGCCTGACTGCCATCATGGGCCGTTCGTTTCAGTAACTTTGGAACGTCAGCATTTTTCATTCCGGTGAATTTCTACCATTGACAATCACTTGCGTGTGCGTACCTTGGCCCATATGACGACGTCCGGATGTGGGACGATGCGGCTCAGGCTTCTGCCTTCCTCGTTCGCCCCGTCCTCTGCTGCTTGTCCCGCAAAAACCGGCCGACGATTAGAGAAGACTAGGATTTTTCGGCCGTCTCCAGTGGCTGTCATCAGCGCTTCGCGCGTTATCGCCACAATACTGACAACCGTGATCAATGCTATGAATCTCGACATTCGTCGCCATGTCCCGTTCTTCGAGCACATATTTGAAAATGCATTCTTGTCGCTGCAGACTAAGTCATTACAGCTGCTCCGCGCGTTGAAGGACCAAGCAAGATGCTTGCTCATACTTGCTCGGAGAGTCGCGTCTACTCTTCTTCCAGAAACATTCTTTGCCATCGGAATTGTGTTCATATCACAATATCAACCTAGCCGTCAATCCGACTATCCGACTATCCGACAGTCCTACCCTAGAACCTCCACTCTACGACGTTCGAGCTGTCCTAGGCGTCACCGCCTATGCGTCACCGCGTGCCAACCCTACCTCTTCAGACTGCCGAAATTGCTGTTGTCCTGTACCGTGAGGCAAGCAACGCGGAGAGCAGGCAGATGACCCTGCAGCTATGCTAGAGCCACCTGGAGAGAGCTAAGCTAATCTAGAGCATCACGCGGAATGAGCCTAGGGAATGGATAGCGGTGGGAATGGGGGGGAGGTGAGAGGAAAGGTAAGGAAAGCAAGCCTGGTCATTCCCTCGAGCGCCCGACTTCAGGGAGTCTCCAAGAGAATTCAGGGGGGAGGCGGAGCTAGGCTCGGGCCGAGGCTGACGAATTCATGGAGGAGGCAGAACTCGGTTCGGTAAGATGAGGGAGCTGTCGTCTTGTCCGGGCCAGACACCCTTGGGACGTGCGACAGTGCTGCGATTGGCTGGACTGAAACCGAGGTCTTTCCGAGCATCTCTGCTCAACGCGACGGCTGACCGTCCCCCAAAACGACAAACGACAAGCTCGGGGACCGAGCCGTCCCTGAAAACCCAGTGGACCAAATTCACGCTCGGCATCTGCGAACACACACCAAATTTCCGGTGCTTCTTTTGCTCGGGCTAGCTTGGCGCAATGGGGCGCGCCACGGCTAGGCCTCACCAACGAGGCGATGCGTCGACGCGGTGGCAGACTTGCGGCGACGCGGTGACAGTCTTGTGTCGTCAGCATGTGATCTCGGTGACCAGAGGTCGGTGTATCACGATAATGTACTATATGGTTGCCATTTTTCAAGGTTAATGGTCAAATACAGTATCAAGGTCAGCTCTGAAAAACGTGAATACTTGGGAAACCAGCTTTGGCCGTCTGGAAACGCGTCGCCATTATATTTGGTGGCTCGGAGAGCTCAACGGCAGGGACTGCTGGGACGTCGGACCTATTCGAGCATGCCAAGTCTGTACCAAGCTGGCCTAGACAAACCTTTGTGCTGTCCCCGCTGTGAAACATCGTTCAGTTCCATACACAATGCTACATCTCCGCACCATAATCAAACTTTTACTATAACAATGGTTTACTGATATTTAAATGACATGCAACTCTGCCAAGAATGCCGCCATGATATCTAGAAAGAGTAAATGTGATCCATCGACATGCTGTACATCCAATAGGTATTTCTCGTCGCGGATCTTGAAAAGCTGCATAAACAAGCATCAAGAGCAGAGTAGCATGAAACAAGCATTAGGTGTCCACATGTGTATAAGCACACACGAAAACAATTGTGCCTAGCTTCAAATCCACTCACCTGCATCTCAAATCTTAGGATCCTCCTGTTTCTTGCTCGGTCCGATCGACGACCTCCTGGTCTCAGCCCTCCTTCACCTCCCATTACACTCACACCCACCAAACTGTTCCCAGTCATGCCCAACCCAGGCACCACAGGCAACCCCACCACCCCTACGCCTGACACATCCCCCCCAGCCATTTCCCCCGCCCTGGCTGGAACTCCTAACGCTGGCACTGGACCCCCTAGGCTCGGTACCATGCCCACGCGGTCAGGCACCGAGCCTGGGAAATGGAGGGGCGGCAGAGGGGACGGCAGGGGCGGCGCGGGAGGGGGGAGAGGCGCCTCCCATCGGCACTTGGTGACATATGGTGCCACCCGCTTCCATGTGACATCGAGAGCCTGCAATGCTCTGCACACCTCCCCTAGGACCTCCATGGGATGGGCCCGGGACTGGCAATGCAGGGACGGGGAAGGAAAGGCAGTGGCAGGGGAAAGGCGGAAGGAGAGAGAGGTGAGGGGGAGGTGTCTTTTCTATCCAACTCAAGGATTGGGTTGTAGCTCTCTGCCTGCCGCCCGCAAGACTCCATTGGATGAAGATGCCCAGTGGAGGATACGATAAGAGGAGATACGAGAACAAAAGGCAGAATATGGTTTTTCTCTTCAAAATAAAATTGTCCCTCACACCAGTACAGTCACACTTGCTCATAATCACCCTCGCCTGCAGTCCAAGCGCTTTAAATAAATTTGCCCTTCACACCAGTACAGTCTGCCAGCATGCGGTGCTGGTTGTGCATGGGCGAGCCCGGAAACCCTCGGCTGCTGCCACCACCCCCTAGCAACCGCTTTGCCTCACAGGCATCAATATAATCACCCTCACCTGCAGTCCCAGCGCCCATTTTCTGTCCGCCAGCATGCGGTGCTGGTTGTGCATGGGCGAGCCCGGAAACCCGCCGCTGCTGCCACCCCCCCCTAGCGACCGCTTTGCCACCAACGCATGACCCGAGCCCGACCCTGTTGCCGCGCCTAGAGCTTTGGCAAGGGCCGAGCCTGAGGAGGACGGTGAGCCGCGCGAGTGTTGCTCCTGCGCAAATGTTACGTTGTGTGGTGTAATGGGGCAGGTGAAGAGGCATAGGAGAGGAGAATGAGAGGCAAACGGGAGCAAACGGAAGGCTGGGGGCGAGAGAACGGTACCACAGGCGAAACGTGGGGTGCTGAGCAACCGAGCTACTGAGGGCAACAAGTGACAATAGAGATGAAGCGATGGTCACAAGTGCAGGAAAAGGGAGGAGGAGATTCCGTTGCTCACTCACCTGGTGCTCACTATACTCTGCACCAATGCATATTCAAGACATGAAGCCCTTCGCTCACAGCAATGCTGCTGTTTATAACAGGAGGGCTTGTTCCCGTGCAGCGGACGGGACCGCTCAATGGTGGTTTGGGAAGAGTAAATAGGCGGAGGATAAGAGAAAGCAACAGCTGAAAGACTGCAGGTTCTCGTTTAGGTTCCCTCCTATTCCACGTTCTGTAGGCACTGGACCCACTCACCCGCTCACCCACTCACCCGCTCACCCGCTCACCCGCTCACCCGCTCACCCGCTCACCCGCTCACCCGCTCACCCGCTCACCCGCTCACCCGCTCACCCGCTCACCCGCTCACCCGCTCACCCGCTCACCCGCTGACCTGCTGACCCACTCACCCGCTCACCCGCTCACCTGCTGACCCGCTCACCCGCTCACCCACTCACCCGCTGACCTGCTGACCCACTCACCCACTCACCCGTTGTTCCGCTGGCCCGCTGACCCTCTGATCCACTGGCCCGCTGACCCACTGACCTGCTAACCCACTATACTCACCTTGTGCTCACTACACGCTGCACCTGAGATTCAGCAACGTCAACAATATAATCCGTTCGCTTTCTCACCTTGTGCTCGCTGAACTCTGCACCCAAGTAGCCCGTTGACACCCGCCGATGATTGTCCAGCATCAGGTAGTACGCCACCGTGGCCTGTAGGGGCGGGAGGGCAGGGGGGGATTGGGGGGGGGGCAGACATTCAGAGGTGAGAGGGGTGTGGGACTTTGAAACACCAAGACTTGTCGGGGTTGTCTGGAATTAGGTAGTATGCCACCGTGGCCTGTAGGGGCGCGGGGGCAGGGGGGTGGAGGGAGGTACGGGTGGGGAGTGGGAGCGGGAGTGGGAGTGGGAGTGGAGCGGGAGCGGGAATGGGGAGTGGGAGCGGGAGCGGGAGCGGGAGAGGGAGCGGGGAAAAGAGAGCATACATGCAGAGGTGAGAGGGGTGTGAGATACGAGGCAGCACCATCTGCCAGTGGTAGTCAAGCATGAGGTATGAGACGGCGCCATGGGAGCAGCGACTCTGGAGTTGATGCAGACGTGGCTGCAGTGCACTTGGGAGCATTATCAGGTGGCTCACCCTGTTACACTTTCCGTTACCCTTGGTGGCTCACCCTGTTACACTGTCCGTTACCCTTGGTGGCTCACCTTGTTACACTTTCCGTTACCCTTGGTGGCTCACTTTGTTACACTTTCCATTACCCTTGGTGGCTCACCCTGTTACACTGTCCGTTACCCTTGGTGGCTCACCTTGTTACACTTTCCGTTACCCTTGGTGGCTCACCTTGTTACACTTTCCATTACTCTTGGTGGCTCACCCTGTTACACTTTCCGTTACCCTTGGTGGCTCCCCCTGTTACACTTTCCGTTACCCTTGGTGGCTCACCTTGTTACACCTCCTGTTACACTTAGTGACTCACCTTGTTACACTTTCTGTTGCGCAGTGACTCTGCCAAGTAATCTTCATCGAACCCCATCTTGGCCACCACCGTCAGAATCTCGCTGTCAATCTGCGAGTGGAGCAGGCAGGGCAATGCACAGAGGGAGTGCGGAGAGAAATGCACATATAAACGAGCGAGAGGAATCAAACCACGGGGGAAAGGGAGTGCTTTCTTCTCTCACCCGTTTTGCCTGCTCAGCTGCGTAGAGAGGCGGCCCTGCGAGTCACTGAGAGAGCTTAGACAGGGGGTACTGACGGATCTCCTCTCTGGGATCATGATTCGCTTCATCGAAACAACCGGCAGGAGCATGCGCCGCACAAGGCCCCTTCTGATTTGATCGAGGATCACAAGGTCCCGGGCACCCACTTTACCCTCCTCACCCTCCTCCTCACCCTGCTCATCCTCACCCTCCTAACCCTCCTCCTCACCCTGCTCATCCGCACCCTCCTACCTGTACCCTCTTTCTAACCCGTTTGGCCTGCTCGGCAGCGTAGGGAGGCGGCACGGCCAGGTAGCGGGGCAGCTTGACGAGGAACCAGGGGTGCTGGCGGATCTCTGGAATGGTGATGCGCTTCATGGGGTCCACCAGGTGTCTTTTGAGTCGACTCAAAAGTCACCTCTATGATGCGCTTCATGGGTCCACCAGCAGCATGCGCAGCACGAGGTCGCTGGCCGGGGGGGAAAGAAAGCTGGCCACCCCTCAAAACAAATAATATCTTAACCGTTTCGCCTGCTTGGCTCCTACTCCCTTACCCGCTTGGCTTGCTCAGCAGCATACGGGGGCGGCACAGCCAGGTAGCGGGGCAGCTTGGCGAGGAACCAGGGGTGCTGGCGGATCTCTGGAATGGTGATGCGCTTCATAGGGTCCACCAGCAGCATGCGCGGCACCAGGTCGCGCGCGCCCGTGGATAGGAAGCTGGGGAGGGAGTAGACGCCGCCCTTGATCTTCTTGAACAGGTTGGGGATGTTCTCGTCGTCAAAGGGCAGGCTGCCGCATAGGAGGGCGTAGAGGATGACGCCACAGCTCCACACGTCCACTTCTGGCCCGCCATAGAGTCTTCCTGAGATTACCTGAGTATAAGGGGTTGGGATGAATTGGGGGAGTGCGTGGGGGGGGATTGCGGTTGGGAAGGGGTGCGTGTACAGGGTGGGTCGTTCTCGTCGTCAAAGGGCAGGCTGCCGCAGAGGAGAGCGTAGAGGGGGACGCCACGGCTCCACACGTCCACCTCGGGACCTCCGTAGAGTCGTCCTGAAATTACCTGAGCAGAGGGGATGGGTTGGATATGGGGGGGTGTGCAGGAGGGAGAGAGGGGGAGGGGGGAGACAGGGGGTGTACAGGTTGGGAGTGTTCTGGGTGTCGAATGGCAGGCAGCCGCAGAGCAGGGCGTAGAGGATGACTCTGCAGCTCTGGAGATGACCTCGCAGGAGGGAGGGAGGGATGGTCCCAAAGGGGGGAGGGTAACTACGTCACATTGATGTTCTCACCCAAAAAAGAACCCAACGAAAAGGATTGAGGGCCAGGTTAGCAGAAGCCCAAAAGTCTCCACGCAGACCAGCAACACCACAGGTGGAAAACGGGATGACTGTACCTCTGGAGCAGCGTAGTTGGGGCTGCCGCACGACGTCTTGAGGAAGTGCCCGTCGCGCATCACGTTGCTGAGCCCGAAGTCCGCTATCTTCATGTTGCCCTTGGTGTCCAGCAGCAGGTTCTCAGGCTTTAAGTCGCGGTGCACCACCATGTTGCGATGGCAGTACTCCACCCCGCTCACGATCTGTACGGTGGGAGGTGTAGGGAAAAGGAGAGAGGAGAGAGGAGAGAGGAGAGAGGAGAGAGGAGAGAGGAGAGAGGAGAGAGGAGAGAAGAGAGAGGAGAGAAGAGAGAGGAGAGAGGAGAGAAGAGAGAGGAGAGAGGAGAGGGGAGAGAGGAGAGAGGAGAGAGGAGAGAGAAGAGAGGAGACAGGAGAGAGGAGAGAGAAGAGAGGAGAGAGGAGAGAGGAGAGAGGAGAGAGGAGAGAGGAGAGAGGAGAGAGGAGAGAGGAGAGAGGAGAGAGGAGAGAGGAGAGAGGAGAGAGGAAGGAGAGGAGAGAGGAGAGAGGAGAGAGGAGAGAGGAGAGAGGAGAGAGGAGAGAGGAGAGAGGAGAGAGGAGAGAGGAGAGAGGGAGGTGAGCCGAAACCCGCTACCGTCATGTTGGCCTTGCCGTACTCCATAACCCTGCACCGACACACCAGCATGATCCCACGAATGACCACCAACATCAACGCACCTGTTGAAAGAACCGCCTTGCTTCATCCTCCATGAGCCGCCCCTTCTCCACGATGTAGTCGAAGAGCTCGCCGCCCTTGACGTACTCCATCACCACGAATATGTCCGCGGGCGTCTCGATCACCTCGTACAGCCGGATGATGTGGGGATGCATGAAGAGCCGTAGGATCTTGATCTCCCTGCGGACTGCCGGGCGGTGTGAGGCAAAGGGGCAGGAGCGCGCATAGCCAGGGGATGTGGGGCGAAGGTCTGCGGTGATAACAGGACGATGATGCGCGGATGCATGAACAGCCACAGGACCTTGATCTCCCTGCGGACTGCCGGGTGGCGGTTGGGTGAGGGAGTGAAAGGGAGGGGAGAGTTGCAGTCAGAGGGCGTCTCGATGACGCATGGACGCATGTACAGCCGCGGGATCTTGTTCTCGCGCCGCACTGGCGTTGGTGGGGGGTAATGAGGGGTGATGAGGGGGAAACGAGGGGGTAATGAGTGGGTAATGAGTGGGCAATGGGGGGGTAGTGAGGGGGCAAAGAGGGGGTAGTAAGAGGGTAATTAGGGGGTAGCGAGCGGGTAATGAGTGGGTTATGAGTATAATGAGGGGGTGATGAGGGAAGAGGCGGAAGGGCAGGGGTGGCGAGGTGAAAGAGAGGAGAAAAGCGGCGAGGGGGCGACTCTATCGCCTCGTGCCGTTGGGTGATATGCGGACGCATGAAGAACAGACGAAGGATCTCGATGCTTAGCGCACGGCGCATGGGGCATGCAGCGTGGCGTATGCTGCATGGAGTATGCTGCATGAAGTACGCTCTTCGGTGTATGCTATATGAAGTACGCTCTTCCGTGCATGCTGCAAAGCAAGTATCGCGAGCCGTGTGATGACGTGAGTCGTGATGGCCGTGCGATGCCGTGAGTTGTGACGGCCGTGTGATGCCGTGAGTCGTGACGGCCGTGTGATGCCGTGAGTCGTGAGGGCCGTGTGATGCCGTGAGTCGTGACGGCCGTACCTTTCTCTTCCATGTCCATCGACTTGATCTTCCGCCTGTTGAGAATCTTAATCGCCACTTTCAGCCCCGTTAGTACGTGCTCTGCTACCTTCACTTTCCCGAACGACCCAACCCCGAGAGTCTTCCCCAGGCGGTAGTTGGGCAGGTAGAACTCCGCATTCGCTGCTCCGCTTAAACGCGGCATGTTCGGAACGCCTTCCATTGCTTATACCGAGCTGAGGTTAGAGAAACTCGGTATTGTAACGGGCTCAGGATAGAGAACACGGATTCGATGCTGACCTCTTTATAGAGTGCACCGGTGAATGATATTTGCTAGGCACATCGAGTTACAACGTTAAACGTTTGGAGATGCATGGTATACGGAATCGGGCAAGCGTAACGGGTCGGAAACGGAAAAAGTAAGGAATCACGGATCTATGTTGGAAGCCCCTGCAAGTGAACTTGAGGTGCTAAAAAAGGTGGGACACTAGCGACGCGAGGAGAGAAGGTCAGGAAAATAAAGCCACTCGAGGATGCTGTAACCTTAGGCCAACAGCGTGACCACTACAGTCAGGTGCAAGCTTGGGTGGTAAAAAAGTGGCTCCTTGGACCACCGTCGGCTAAACCAGCACGCTGTCAGCCAGTCGCTGTGGACTAATTAGTGCACTAACGACGAGACTGCTGGCAAAAAAGGAGAACTGAACATTGCGGAGGACGGCGAGAGGAGTGGTCGAGGCTACGAAAACACGGCAGGCTGTTCACGAAATATCGAAAGTATGCTCGAGCGCAGGCTTCTCCGAATCGTTGCGTCACGAGCAATGTGATTGCAACGAAGTGCTATATCTGCAGGAAAGCTGTATATTGCGACGGTTTGGGAAATAAGAGTTTGCATATCGAGGAGCTGGCCTCGCTAGCACTAACAGTTCTAGCATCCACGACCAGAGGGAGAACCTTGGCTGCTGAAACACAGAAACTCGACGGGTTATCTCACCAGAGCTAAACTACCTGCCGAAATGCCAGGGGCAAGCAAGCAACAGCAACAACAGCAAATTTGATCACTGAAGTGGGGGAGGGGGAGTGGAGTGAAGAAATTCCGAGGGAGAATTGGGTGGGAGGAAGTCTGGCTGGGTACAGTATTTCTTTCGCATTCATCGATCTTGTCCCGCCTAACCGATCTTGGGTTTCGGAGGGAAACTGACCAATGAGATCACTCGCAGGGCAGTGCTTCCAGCGAAACTCTGTCAACGACCGTCAGTTCTCAGGACAAGAACTGCGGCAAAAATTATCGCGCAGAGCGCGAGGTCATCGACGGTGGTCATTCTCCGAGGAGAACTGGGCGGGCAGCAGTGAGTGGAGGGTGGAGCAGAGAATGGGCCCAAGTGAACGGTTGATGTTTCCCGATTGTACCGATGTGGCATTTTTTCTCCTGACATGTTGCGCCAGGATGCTGGAGGACCCCACGTGACGTGGAAGAAAGGGCAAGTGAGCTCAGCGTTACCCCACCAAAAGTCAGATCTGGCTTGCTCATGTGTTCACCGCTCCGCTGAAGGCATATACGAATCCCGTACACCAATGCTGTCATTACATTTGAAAATCTAAAAGCCATATGATGGATGAGTAGGATATGGGAAGAGGACAGTAGGACTGTAGGAGGCTAGGATCCAAATAATGTGGAGGTGTTACCCAACCGCGTAGATTGACAGCCGTTGCGCCAAATACCTCCAGATTTGGCGCAGACTTCGCCACCCAAGCACAGAACATAGGTCGCCGTGTTCGCCAAGTCGCATGGCAGCTTCATACGAAATCGTGCAGCCTTTGTGCGAAGGTTCCCCGGCGACGCCTGTGCGTCAGCCAGCCAGTTTCCGTCAAAATTAGCCTCGGCAACTTTTCCGAACTTCCCGATTCCCGCGTTTCCCCATCAAACTACCAAAGAGTGCCCAGAATTGAAACCGTTGGGCTGGTTCGACAACATGTCCAAGCCTCGGCCCTCCGTCACGGAAAAATCACCCCGCCTAATCGCCGTCAAAACGTCGCCGACTGAACTCCCTAGGGGCTGGCGAGGCGACGGAACTGCCTGGGGTTTGTGGTACCATGGGTTGTCTCCTTGTCGCTTGGCCATGCTCAGCCTGTCCCCAACGTAACCCCTTCTGCCCGCCCTACTCTCCCTCACCTCTGCTCTCCAATTCCCCGTGCCTCGCTTTCTCTCGCCTCAGTTTTGATTTCCATGCGGATTTTGCTCGCGACAACTCGATTTCTGCGCGGAATTACGTCAATTCTGCTCCGCTTGCACGCTGTTTTCTGCTCGCGAACACGAGGATGAGCGCGTCGATTACGTTTCAGCTGAAATTGGTCGCTTTTCACTGGTGAAGCTGGTCATGCGCTGCTCGTCGTTACGGGGAGCTCGCCGTGGCTTTTTATCGTCTCGTCACGTCAATTCTGCTCGCCGTTCGATGCTCGCCGCTTTAAGGTAAACAAACATCCGTTTTCTCGGGTAGTTTTTTTCCTCCTGATTATTATCGATTTCTCGTTTTCTCACGCTTTGCCTGTTGATGACATGTTTGACTTGCAGGCAGTTACTATCTGTAACCTCCGCCGCAGCTCAACATCAGCTGTCGCTGAACGTCCGCGACGACATTTGCGACGACACTCGCGGCGACAAGCGCGACGACATTCGCGATGACCAGAGCGGCGACAATTGCGACGATAATCGCGACGACAATTGCGACGATAATCGCGACGACAATTGCGACGACAATCGTGACGACAATCGTGACGACAATCGCGACGACGATCGTGACGACGTTCGCTGACCGATGTGTCAAGGTGCGTTGCACTGTTCGCCTCTGTTCGTCACACGCCCACTGCGCCTATTGTTTCGCGTTCTCGCCATGCTGATTATTCTCTGTTCACCATTCTCGCCGTTTATCATCTCCGGCACCCTTGTTGTCGTTCGCGCTCGCGCTGACCGCTCGTCCTGCTGCCCGCCTTCCCGTCCTGCTCGCAGGTGCTTCGCCTCACTTCCTCTCCGCCGAGTCTCAGCGTGAGAGATCACTTCCTCGTGGCTGGCTGCTGGCTGCTGGGCTTCGTCCCGTTACCGGCTGACGCATCAGCAGTGGCGTCTCAGCGGCGCTCGAAATGAGAAGCTGAACCCTTTTCGTTTGAGCTAAGTATCATGGCGCCTTGCCGTGCCTGCCTCTCGCTTCGCCACGTTCCCGTCATCATCATCTCATCCCTCACTTTTTCTCCCGCCCTCCCTCCCTCCTCCCACTCTCCCCGTTCTCTCTCCTCCACCTTTCCGCCTCCCCCCTCTCAACCCCATGGCGCACAGTGCAGAGCAGCGCGCATAGAGTCCAGTCCAGGTCAGGGGTTAGGCTACTCTAGGGTCCTGTCTGCCTGCAAGCTGTGCTGCTGTTGTTCCTCCCCCCCTCCCCACCCCCGCTGCATAGCTCGCGCTCGTGTGCCATGGGTTATCCTCCCCTCACCCCCGCCCCCCCCAAACCCCATCCCAACCCTTTCCCAACCCCACCCCTCCCCACCCCCTCGCTCTCCCTCCATCCCGCGCACATCACACCTATTCATCGCCGTGAATGCCTTGTTTCTCTGTTTTCCTGGATCCGAATTGAATCATTCTCAGTCATTTCCGCTCTGGCGGCGTCCATCCCTCCGCCATTCACTCATCGCCTTCTCTCCGCCCTCTTCTCCTCTCGCCCCCTCAGGCGTGCCTCTGACTGACGTCCCGCTCGCATTGGCGCCGGCAGTAGCTGCAGGGGAGGCAGCAGCATGTCGGCAGCAGTGCAGCTGCAGCGGCAGCAACAGCGGCACTCCAAATAGCAATTAGTTATCCCTCCAGCGCTCACTGCATCCTTGTGCACACCCTCCCCCATGCACTCCCACCCTCCCACCCGCTCCCTTCCCACCCACCTGTCCACCCTCCACCTCCCCTCGCCTCCACTCCCCTCTCAACCCCATGGCGCACAGCGTGAGCAGCGCGCATAGGGTCCAGTCCAGGTCATGGGTCAGGCTACTCTAGGGTCCTGTCCGCATGCATGCCCCCCCCCCCCCCTCTCCCCTCTCCAGCATGCACTGCATGCCGCGCTGTCGTCCGCTCGCTGCTGCATAGCTCACGCTCGTGTGCCATGGGGTGCCTCCCCACCCGCCCCGCCCCCCAAGACCCCCATCCGCCATCCGCCATCCTCCAGCCGCTCTCTTCCACCAATCCCTCCACACTCCCTTCCCACGCCGAGCACCCACACGCCTTCTGCTTTCTCCGCTTTCTTGCATTTGAGTCTTTCTCAGCCTGTTGAGCTTCCTTGCTGTGGCCTCCTCCACTCGCGTTCATCTCTGCCTCACCCCCCCTCCCCTCCCTGCCGGCCTTCCTCACCACCCTCCTCCTCATCCCCCCTTCCCTCGTCACCAGGTGCGCCTGTCTGTTGCTGCCATGGCGGCCGTTCAGTGAACGCCGTTCCCACACGCACCCCCTCTTCCCCCCGTGCTGCGCCTGGCAGCAAGGGGAAGCAAGGGAGCATCGGGAATTGGAGATCGACCCCTCCCAGCTACACAGCTAAGTGCTCATTCTCGCTCCATGCCGCCCATGCCTTGCTTCCCCTGCTTGCTTGCTTGCACGCTTTCCTTCCAAAACGCGCCACTCGTTGCAGCTTGGATCTTGGGGCACAGACCAGCAACTGCAGGTAGCCCCCCCCCCCTCCTCCCCCAACCCACCCAGGTACTCCCCCCCTTGAGCCATAGAGCCTTGACAGATCACACTACAGCCCCCTCACGGCCTCTGGTCTGTGCCCTGGGGTCGGAGCTACAACAGTCTCGCTCCTCTCCCTCCCTCCCCCCTTTCCTCCCCCCCCCCCCCCCCCTGTGTTTGTCACACATGTCATGTCCATGCCAAGTAGCCAGCTCCCGCCTCTCCCCTCACTTGATCCTCCTTCCCCCTCCATCCCCTCCCTCCCCCCCCCTTCCTCCCCCTCCCTCCCCCCCCCTTCCTCCCCCCCCGCCACCCTTGTGTCTCCCCTGGCTCACCAGCAGGATTGTGGATGGATAGATGCTCCTGTGAGGAGGCATGTGGGGCGGAGAGGGGTGGGGATACGAGGGGAGGGGATACAAGCAATCCCTCTCAGCGCTGCTTCGACTTCTAACTTCCAACTTCCAGCTAAGTAACAGTTCCTCCCTCTACTGAGCCTTACTTGCTGCTCACTGGTCTTATCCATTGCTTGGTTTGAGTCCTGTCTCTATCGAAACCTCGCCACTGGTTGGGGCCCAACGCACAAGCTGCAGACCCCACTGCTACTGGTAACCCCCTCAGGTTCAGCCCCCCTTACAGCCCTCTCAGGTTCAGCCCCTCAGGATCCCTGGGGGGTCTGTGGCGTGAGCTCGTGCCTCCACCAGTGGCCCCTTCCCTTCTCTTGCCTTGCAGTTCTCACAATGCCTAGCTCACCCTTTATGCCTCACTGCACTCTCACTAACGCTGTATGTGTCCATTGCAGGTGGAGGGGAGTGGAGGGGAGGGAAGAGGGGAGGGGAGGGGAGGGGAGAAGAGCCGAGGCGAGGCGAGGGGAGGGGAGAGGAGGGGCGTTTCTTTCAGCTGCTGCTTTCAGCGCGGTGCTTCAGCTTCCTTCTAAGTATTCATTCCTCTCTACTGAGCCTTGCGTGCTGCTCACTGCTTGTATTATTCCTCGTTTTTGGTCCCATGCCCTCCTATGCTTGCTCTATTAAAACCTCGCCACTGGCTGGGGCCAGACTTGCAAGTCACAGACCCCCCCTCACTGCAGGTAACCCCCCCCCCAGGTTCAGCCTCCCTTACTGCCCCCTCAGGTTCATCCCTTCAGGTTCCCTTGGGGGTCTGCGGCTTGTGGCTGAGCCTCCACCAGTGGCCCCTTCCCTTGTTCATCATCTCCCTCCTGCATTGCTCTCGACTCCCATCCGCCTACCACTCTCTCCTGGACTCAACTGCCTCCCCTCTTCCCCCCACCCTCATCTCCTTGCTCCTCCTCCCCCCCCCAATCTCTCTGCAGGGCCTCTGGCTGCTGTGACTGCAGGGGGAGGGGGAAGAGGCGTGAAGTGGGTGCTGTGAAGTGCTTGAGTGACGGGAAGCAGAGGGGGCTGGGGGTACGTGCCAGCTGGGAGCACACAAGCAGCCACAGCAGATAAGTGCACTCACACACTCTCTTACTCGCCTCTTGACGGCTTTCAGTCGCTTTCTTGTTTTTTTGCATCACTCTGACATGCGCTCACACATGCTTTCACATCTCACCACTCCATCCATGATGCATGCCTCTTAAAAAAAAAAACCACTTGCAGCAGCCTAGCCTTACTTGGTGCAGACCCCCCCCTCTCCCCCAAATTATTCCAGGTATCCCCGCCCCTCCCCCTCCCCGAGGTTAAGCCTACCCTTAAAGTTATAAATATACTGTATAACCCCCTCCCTATTACCCTTGGCTCTGCACCTTGTGCCTAAAGCTGCTCCAGTGGTCCCTCTGCTGCAATCACCTACCACCCCACCAATGCACACCTCTCACGCCTCTACCCCAAGCTGCTTGCGCACCTCTCTCCAGTTTTCCCCTTGCAGGTTGAGGGGAGGGGGGTGTTGGAGGTCAACACCGCCAATCCCCTGCAGCCGTCCCTTGTGGCCGTGCGGGTACACGCACTTGGGAAGCTGGGAGGAATGCTGCCACGAGGGAGAGTATCTGGGGTGGGGTTGGCCTCTCATGGTAAGTTCCTATTCACCACCCCCTTCCTATTTCAGTTCTCGTGTGCTTTAGCTTTCTCTTCCTCCTGATGCTATGGCTGGTGAATGTAAGCACTGACTTATTTTCTGTCTGTCTCCCCCTTTCTGCCCCCACCAGGTCACTTGGCATCATCTGAAGACTGCAGCAGAGGAAGCTGAGCAGCTGACAGCAGCAGCAGCAGCAGCATTTGGGGCTGGGCGGTTAGAGGGACAGTCTAGGCTAGGTAGCGTGAGAGAGGTATGCTAACAGGTAAGGTATGGTATGAGGTCAGGTATGGTCGTCTCACCCCTCTGTTTCCTTCCTTCCTACAGCATGCGGATCTGGAGCCTTGGAGCAAGGACGGAGGATTGGAGGAGCATAGGAGCAAGCATGCAGCTCACTTCCTTAGGGGCAGCACCCTCTGTGGTTCCTGCCTTGCTGGTCGGGTGTGGGCAATGGAAAATGCGTGGCATGGCAGTCGTTCCTCAAGTAACAATACTGACGTATCGTATAATGGAACCGGCCAGAGCCGTGCGCGCCGGCTGTGGTTGGGAGTCCCCTCCTACGACGCTTTCGTAAGCGGGATTTGAGTCTTGGGCCGCCCGTGCATTTTCCACTGCCATTGCTCGCACTGCAAGGCAGAGCCATGGGGGTGCTGCCACCAAAGGGGAGTGAGTTGCATGCTGTTCTTAGTGCTGGGAGGGGGAAGGTGGGGAGGGGGGAGGTGGGGCTGGGAGGTAGCTGGGATGGTGGTGGGGTGGTGGTAAAAGGGGGCCTGACCCCCCTGGTTAAGTCAATTGAAGAGCAATGGGAGGGGGCTGCAGCGACCACCAGAGTAAGTGGAGTGTGAGGGGGGGTGAGAGAGGGGCCTGAATTCCCCCGGGTAAGTCGGTTGACGGGCAACTGAGGGGGTGGCAGTGACCACCAGAGTAAGTCGAGTGTGAGGGAGGGAGATGACAGAGGGGACCTGAACCCCCCTGGGTGACTAGACGAGGGTCAAAGGAAGGGGCCTCAGCCCCCCTCAGCCAGGGGGCTGCTCTCAACACCAGAGTGTGTTGAGTGTGGGGGTGGTAAAGTGGCCTGAAACCCCCTTGGTTACCAGAGTGAGGGTCAATGGAGGAGGGCTGCAACGACCACCAGCGTAAGTTGAGTGAAAGGGGGCTGCTGAGACCGCCCCTGGGTAAGTTGAGTGAGAGGCAAGTGGGGTGGGCTGAGGCCCTCTGGGTAAGTGAGGAAGTGGAGAAAGGGGGCGTGAACCCACTTGGGTAAGTTGAGTGAGGGAGGGGCGGACAAGGGGAGCTGAACTCCCTTGGGTAAGTTGAGTGAGGGAGGGGCGGACAAGGGGAGCTGAACTCCCTTGGGTAAGTTGAGTGAGGGAGGGGCGTACAAGGGGGGCTGAACCCCCTTGGGTAAGGTGAGTGAGGCAGGGGCAGAAAGGGTGGGCTGATCCCTCTTGGGTAAGTTGAGTGAGGAAGGAGCGGACAAGGGGGGGGCTGAACCTCCTTGGATGAGTTGAGTGAGGGAGGAGCAGACAAGGGGGGCTGAACCCCCCTGGGCAACTTGAATGAGGGAGGGGCAGACAAGGGGAGCTGGACCCCGTTGGGTTAGTTGAGTGAAGGAGGGGCAGACGAGGGGAGCTGAACCCCCCCTTGGGTGAGGGCAGACAAGGGGGGCCTGAACCCCCTTGGGTGAGTTGAGTGAGAGAGGGGGTTTCAGGCCCCAAGTTGCAAGGTGAGGAAAGGGAGGGGGTGTCAGACCTGAGGAAAGAGGGTGTCTTCAGACCCCCAATTGCAAGGTGGGGGAAGGGAGGGGGTTACAGACCCCAAGTCGCAGGGTTAGGCACACATGGGGGAATTTTTCCCAGATGGAAGAGGTGAGGTGCGGCAGGAGATGGGGTTTGAGAGACCCCAAGTGTACGGTGTAGCAGGGGAGTAGGTTTTCCTGAGGTTGGAAAGGCTGGGCTCAGACCCCAATTATTTGATGGGTTAAGGAGGTTCAGGCCCCAATGATAGGATCGGTCCAGTCCAGATCCCAAATATGGGATGAGGTAGGTGGGGAGGGGAGGATCCTGATCACCCTGGTAGTAGATGAGGTGTGTGAGAAGGGGTACTGACTCCCAAAGGGATGAAGTGGGAAAGGGGGGTTCTGACCATCAGTGCAGGATGAGTGTAGTGAGCTGTGGGTTCAGTTCTCTCGTGGACTGTTGAGTGAGGGAAAGAGACGGTAGTGTGCAAATGCTGCTGGGGATCTCCAAGACACACACACACCCTAATATGTTTCTGCAGTATTCATAACGACTGACCAACGACTTCATGGGCTGGATCCGATGCAAGGG